CTGGGAGTCCTCAACATTGACTCCAGACCCCATGAAGTCTCATGGCTTCAAGTTAAACATGGGCAAGGAAACCTCCTGCTGATTACCACATACCGTCCTCCCTCAGCTGATGAATCAGTACTCCTCAATGTTGAACAACACTTAGAGAAAGCACTGAGGATGGCAAGGGCACAAAATGTACTCTGGGTGGGGGGATTTCAATGTCCACCACTGAGAGTGGCTCGGCAGCAGTATTACTGATCAAGCAGGTCGGGTCCTAAAGGACATAGCTGCTAGACTGGGTCTGCAGCAGGTGGTGAGGAAACCAACAGGAGGGAAAAACCACATCCTTATCAATCTGCCAGCTGCAGTTACATCTGTCCATGACAGTATCGGTAAGAGCGACCATTGTACAGTCCTTGTGGAGACGAAGTCCCGCCTTCACATTGAGAACAACCTCCTTCGTGTTGTGTGGCACTATCACCGTGCTAAATGGGACAGACTTCACACAGATCTAGCAAATCAAGACTGGGCATCCATGAGGCACTGTGGGCCATCAACAGCAGCAGAATTGTACTCCAGCACAATCTGTAACCTCATGGCCCGACATGTCCCCCACTCAACCATTACCATCAAGCCAGGGGATCAACACTGGTTCAATGAAGTATGCAGGAGGGTATGCGAGGAGCAGCACCAGGCATACCTGAAGATGAGGCATCAGCCTGGTGAAGCCACCAAACAGGACTACCAAACAAGCATGCCAAACAGCGAAAGCAGCAAGTGATAGACAGAGCTAAGTGATCCCACAACCAACAGATCAGATCTAAGCTCTGCAGTCCTGCCACATCCAGTCGTGAATGGTGGTGGACAATTAAACAACTCACCGGAGGAGGAGGATCCACAAATATCGCCATCCTCAATGATGGAAGAGCCCGGCTCATCAGTGCAAAAGATAAGCCTGAAGCATACGCAGCAATCTTCAGCCAGAAGTGCCAAGTGGATGATCCACCTCGGCCTCCTCCAGTGGTCCCCAGCATCACAGATACCAGTCTTCAGCCAATTTGATTCACTCCATGTGATATCAAGAAATGGTTGGAGACACTGGATACTGCAAAGGCTACGGGCCCTGACAACTTTCCAGCAATAGTACTGAAGACTTGTGCTCCAGAACATGCTGGTCCCCTAGCCAAGGTGTTCCAGTGCAGTTACAGCATTGGTATCTACCCGACTATGTGGAAAATTGTCCAAGTATGTCCTGTACACAAAAAGCAGGACAAATCCAACCCAGCCAATTACTGTCCCATCAGTCACCTCTTGATCATCAGTAAAGTGATGGAAAGTGTCATCAACAGTGCTATCAAGCAGCACCTGCTTAGCACCTGACCTCATTACAGCTTTGGTTCAAACATGGACAAAAGAGCTGAATTCCAGAGGTGAGGGGAGAGTGACAGCCCTTGACATCAAGGCTGCATTCCACCGAGTGTGGCATCAAGGACCCCCAGCAAAACTGGAATCAATGGCTATCGGGGGCAAACGCTCCGGTGGCTGGAGTCATACCTGACACATAGGAAGATGGTCGTGGTTGTGGAAGGTCAATCATCTTAGCTCCAGGATATCTCTGCAGGAGTTCCTCAGGGTAGTGTCCTAGGCCCAACCATCTTCAGCTGTTTCATCAGTAACCTTCCCTCCATCATAAAGTCAGAAGTAGGGACATTCGCCGATGATTGCACAATGTTCAGCACCATTTGTGACTCCTCAGATACTGAAGTAGTCCATGTTCAAATGCAGCAAGATCTGGACAATATCCAAGCTTGAGCTGACAAGTGGCAAGTGACATTCGCGCCACATAAATGCCAGGCTATGACCATCACCACTAAGAGACAATCTAACCACCGTCCCTTGACATTCAATGGTGTTACCATCACTGAATCCCCCACCATCAACATCCTGGGGGTTACCATTGACCAGAAACTCAACTGGACTCACCACATTAACAGAGTGGCTAAAAGAGCAGGCCAGAAGCTAGGAATACTGTGGCAAGTAACTCACCTGCTGACTCCTCGAAGCCTGTCCGCCATCTACAAGGCACAAGTCAGGAGTGTGATGGAATACTCCCCACTTGCCTGGATGAATGCAGCCCCATCAACACTCAAGAAGCTTGACACCATCCAGGAAAAAGCAACCCGCTTGATTGGCATTACATCCACAAGCATTCACTCCATCCACCACCGACGCTCAGTAACAGCAGTGTGTACTATCTGCAAAATGCACTGCAGAAATTCACCAAAGATCCTCAGACAGCATCTTCCAAATCCACGACCACCTCCATCTAGAAGGACAAGGGCATCAGACATATGGGAACACCACCACCTCCAAGCTCCCCTCCAAGTCACTCACCATCCTGACTTGGAAATATATTGCCGTCCCTTCACTGTTGCTGGGTCAAAATCCTGGAATTTCCTCCTTAATAGCATTGTGGGTCAACCCACAGCATGAAAACTGCAGCGGTTCAAGAAGGCAGCCACCCACCTTCTCAAGGGCAACTAGGGATGGGCAAGAAATGCTGGGCAGCCAGCGACACTCACACCCCACATAAAATGAAAAACAAAACTTCCAGGCCAGTTTTTACTTTATACACTCCATAAACTTCAAAAGCTTTAAATTCATCCAAATCTCTGCTGCCCATATCCTAATTTTTTATAAAATTCTATTCATCCATCAACCTTGTGTTCATCGATCTGTATTGGTTCCTAGTCAAACAATGCCACCTCTTTAAAATTCTCATCCTTGTTTTCAAATCAATCAACTTCCTGTAGACCAACAGTCATCAGAAGTTTCAACATACCTTCAATTCTGGCATCTTAAACATCTCTGCTTTTAATTGCTCTCCCATTGATGACCATTTCTTTGGTTGATGAAGCCCAGAGTTCTGGAGTGTCCTAATAAAACCATTCCTCCTCTCTGTCTCTGCTCCCTTAAACATTCAATAAAACCTACCTTGTTGACCAGCCTCTCTTAATCTGTATGTTTTTGAGTTATGTTTTCCTTCACTATTCCGTGAAGTGTTTGTGAATGTTTTACTACATTAAATGCACTATGTACATGTAGGTAGTTATTGAAATAAAGTTAGCAAAAATCTTGACTGTGAAGTTCAGAAGAGATTAAGTTCAGATACTTCTTCTTGATTGTCCTGGTAGGATCCCTTCTAGAGTTAGCCCAGATGACCTTAGTTAATCATGCAGAATTACAAAAATTGCTATTTTCATGTTTTGCAGTACTGATCCATTAAAATGTTATAGAGTCATTGTTTATCAGTCCTATCCTCTTTGACCTACTTTGGCTACCTGTGCTCCAATACAAATAAATTTAATCTTAGATTACAAATCATTGAATGTTTCTGCCTACCCCAACTCTCCTCTAACTTTATGTCCTCTCCTGATTCTTTTAATTCCCTGACTCTGAATTTTCTAAATTCACTCCACCTAACTCAGCTTTTCATCTGACAATCGGTAGCAGAGTCTTCTGCTATTTTCAGTGCCATTATCTGGAACACGCTTCCAGCTCCTCTGCTTCTTCTTTCTCCATCATGCCTCAAACCTTTCTTCAATTATCATTTTCTTTGTGTAAACCACCTTTGGAAGTTTTCTACATTAAAGGTGTTACATGAAGTTATTGGCATCTTTCTAAATGCTGTCTTTTCCAAGTATTTCATCAAAGGTCTAATAAATAAGATTATGTATTTAAGAAGTAATTTGCCCCTCTGACTGATCTGTTCACCGAATTTAACAAAACGTTGTATAATTTTTGTATGATTAACACGTAGTCAGTAATAACGAGTTGTAGACTGATTAATATATTCCAGAGGGCAGATGGATGAACTCCATCGATTCCTATACTAGAACACTCTAATATGCCTTGAAGTGCCTGTGGGCGTGAAAAATGTTTATGTGTATGCATTTCTCAATGTATAAAACATTAAAGCACAATATACAATTCGGCTAAGGAAAATAAATTTGTAAGTGTGAGTTCGCCCGCATGCTCCCCACTGACTCTCAACTTGCTGCAATGTTCCAATGAAACTTGAGGAACAGCACCTTAGGCATTTAGGCACCTAAGGATTAGGCATTTTATAACCTTCCAACTCAATAATAAGTTCAACAGTTCTGTTCTGTATGATTCTATGAATCTGTGATTTCAGACGGTAAACTCTGCCTTAATCTAATTTCCAGATTTTTTTCCCCTGTTGTTTGAGAACGAAGAACAGCTTCTTGGAGTCATTCATCAGTGAATATGGTTGAGAGTATGGCCAAAATAGAATTAGTATGGGGTACAGTATTAGCAACAGCCAAGAAGGTTGGTAAAAACAAAACATCTTAATTTGCTAAAGATCTACGAATATTCCAATATGGTATTAGGTGAGAGTTGGGGTTTCACTCTGGTGAGGATGTTGCTGCTTTAACAGTGTGGAGCGCGAGTGTGTAGACAATTTATGCCGATTTGAGTCCTATGTGGCTTGAGTTGTGCAAAAGGGGTGCTTGAATTCACATCCGCTTCAAAACCGACTAAGACCACAGAGCAGCCATGGTCATTTCTTTATCATACTTCATAGACTGAAGGCAAAAGCAGCCAGCTCACCCTTAGAAAAGGGAAAACTTAATTTTACAAAAAGTATTATATAATAATATGGATGGTTTTAGGCATGTATAAATAACTTGCAATAATCACTCATTACATATAAAAACTGGAAAATAATTGAATGCAAGAACTGATATCTTTCGCCCTCGCTGTGTGAGTTTCCCCCTTTCTCCTGAAGCGTTTGGAACATCCTCAGACGTAGATTTCCCCTGTTTGACTTGTGAGGATCTTCCCCTTCATCACAAACTGACCGAGATTGGTCTTAAAATATCCTTCAGAGGAGCCAATAAAATCTCGGATAGAAGACGACGCCGGACAGACGTTGTGTGTTTGCAGAGTAAAAGGGAGCAGCATGTTGATGTGAGACACAAATGTATCCATGATCGTGTCTCGCAGAAACTGAGTGAATGGACCACGGTGACTCGTACTGTTGATGTTATTTGTTAAAGAACAACGCTACTTTGGGACTTGGATTTCGGTGCACGAAACGTCCGTGTGTGCAAGCAGAACCTGCGAGATAACGGGTAAGCCTTAACTGAACGGGAGAGGAGTTACCCCAACATCTGTGTTTATTTGCTCATCTTCGGGCTGCTCTTCGTAAGGCTTCAACTGTTTTTTTCTGTCTGGCAATTAATTGAAATGTAGGAAGAAGCTGTTCACGAACCCGTAGCTGAAATTCCTGCTACATTTCGCTCCCCCATTTCATCCTTAACAGTGATGCTGAAGAGGCAATTCTGTGATTTCATTTTTAAATGATGAATGAAAAGCTGGGGATTCCAGACAGATTTGGGGAGCTGGGGTTAATAAGTGGAAGAAATCTTCCACATGTAAACCAGATGTGAATAACGATGGAGCTGACAGGTCTTTTCGTGTGCATTTTATCTTGTTGAGCAACTTGTGTCCCTGTATTCCCAGATGCCGGACCTCCTACTCAGCATTTATTGCTGCCTACCTCAGTATTACAATTATTTATCTCCGATTATTACTGCCATATTTATTTCCAGTTACAGGAATAGCGCACATAACAAGATTTCAATTTTCTTTGGATAGCTAGCGCTTGGTTTGAAGTGTTGTTTTAGATAAATTCTGTGAGAAATGGAATATTTGTGCACTTCTGTGGGCCAGTATCTCCATTAAGCAACCCCGGGTCGCGCATAGCACAGGCCTCCGCCAGAACACAGCTGTCTCTCCCCTGCTCCAACATTGCCTCTTCAGCATCATGTCAATGTGCCCATTCCCCACACTAACTTGGATTAATGGCTTCTCAGGGCAAGTTACATTATTTTTGAACCAGTTTATTGCTGCAGAATGGATGATTCAGTGTTGTGAACCTGAACACCCCCCTCCCCCCATAATGATTTTTAACAATGCTGAATTCTTTAGCGATGCTGTTTTCCACATTAAAATGTTACATTTTAACATACTGGATCTTACTGCTGGGCTGATCTTATCATTTTCATTAACTCCTTCCCTCCCTCCCTTCACTTAGTTCCTATAAAATAACATTGTCTAACCATAGACATTTGAAGCACAAAAGACCATTTGGCCCATTATGTCTGTCCCAGCTATTAGCAATATCCAGCTACATTCCTTCATTCGTCTAACAAGCCAGTTTTTCCCTTTTTAGAATATGTAAAAACATGAATGGTAGAATAATAAATCAGATAAAAATGATGAGTGGATGCAAGACAGAATAGGGAGTGAAAACAGGAGACGGATACATATAGTCATAGAGTCATACAGCTTGGAAACACCCTTCGGTCCAACCAATCCATGCCAACCATGATCCCAAACTAATCTAAACCCACCTGTCCATGCTTGGTCTATATCCCTCCTTACCTTTCTTATTCATGTACTTATCCAAACGTCTTTTAAACATACTTTTGGCTGACATACTGTTTGAGAGGTGCCAGAACATCTGGAGGACATTCTACAGAGTAGGGTTGAGGCAGCTAATGGCATACCTCCCCAACCCCAGCCTCATCCCATGACCAACCCTCCCTTCTCATCCCTGCCTCCTTGACCTGACACACCACCTGTCTATCTTCTCTCCCAACTATCCGCCCCTCCCACCTCACTGACCAATCCCCACCACTCCCTACCTGCACTCACCTATCACCATCCTACCTACCATCCCCAGCCCCAACCCTCCTCTTTATTAATTTCTGAGTTCCCTTCCCCCTCCCCATTTCTGGGGTCCCAGAAGGGTCCCAACACGAAATGTCAACTTTCCTGCTCCTCTGATGCTGCCTGGCCTGCTGTGTTCCTCCAGCTCCACACTGTGTTATCACTGACTTCAGCGTCTGCAGTTCTTATTATCTCTGATGGCATAGCTATCTGTGGTGGTGTAGTGCACTACCATCACTAAATGTCTTTGTCATGATTCGTTAGATATTTCAGCTCATAAATAATCTCAGTATCTTTAAGGAAACACTAGGTAAACAAATGAGCAACAAAGGTGTGTAATGCTATGCTGATATGGTGAGATAAAGATGCTTATCTGGTGCATAAAGACCAGCATAAACCAGGTGAGTTAAATGGCCTGTTTCTGTGTTATATGTTCAAAGTAATTCCTTCTAAAAGCCACTGTAGACTAATTCTCTAATATCTCTATTCGGACACAACATTCCTGTGTGTTAAAACAAACTCTCCTGGCTCTTCCCTTGTTCCTTTCAGTGATTACTTATGATTGATTTCCTCTAGATACCCAATCTGGAAACACTTTTTTCTAATTTGGCTATCAAAATCCTTCAAATTCAACAACTCAATTTATTTTTTTTTAAAAACCTGCTTTCCAGCTTTTCTCCTAATCAACATTTCTTATTCATGGGCTTATAGTGAATATCAATGGCACCATTTACATTGAGAAAGGCACCTAAAACTGAATGCAATATTCAACAACAATCTGGCATTATTTATATAGCTTGACTAAGGCAGTAAGATATCCCAAGATTCTTCATGCAAGTATGACTATTGAACAAAATTTGATAATGAGACAATTAAGGGAATGGATGTTAGGACAGATGACCAAATGCATGATCAAGGAGGTAGCTTTCCAAGAGCATCTGAAAAGAATTGGAAACATTTAGGAAGAGAATTCTAAATTTGGGCTTAAGGTACAGCCACCATCAGTGGGAACTGGGGATGTGTAAGTGGTTGGAAAGTATAATCCTAAGGAGTGAATAGGGCATTGTCTGTGTCAGGAGATTGGCAGCAGGGTTTTGGATTAGCTGAAGTGTTTGGAGGGTGGAGAATGGGAGGCCTGACTGAGAAAGCATTGGGTCTGGAAATAACAAAGTCATTGACAAGGGTTTCAGGGACAAATGGGTTTAATGTGGGAAATATCAGGGGTGGAAGTAAGCAAATTTAGCAATAGAGTAGGTATGTGGTTGGAAGCTCAGTGTAGGGCTCATGAAAACACTGAAGGTTCAAATAGTCTGTTTCAGCCTCAGAAGGCAGCTTAGGAGAGTGATACAGTTGGTGGCTCAGAATCAAACACAATGCTTTCTGAGTGTGGCCTGACCAACATTTAATACCGGTTTTAACATGACCTTTTTTTTGTACTCTGCACCCCTATTTCCAACATTTCATTCCATGTTTCTCACTTTATTACTTTGTCTTCCCACTTTTAGAGCATATCTGAAATCCCGAAGTTCCCTCTGCTCTTGTAACACTTTAAAAGTGTCATTTAATGTTCATTTCCTCACATTTTGTGATGAAGAATGAATCACCTCACGTGTCTCTATATTAAATTTTATACAGCATTTTCAGAACTTTCCAAGGTAATTCACTGCTAATTGCGCAATTTTAATGTGTAAGTCTCTCATGTGTAGAAAATATGGCAACGAATATGCACGTAGCGAACCTTCACGATCAGCGCTGTGATGACGATTACGTTATCTGTTTTAGTAAAGCTATCTGAGGTATTAATATTGGCCGGACACTGGCAAATACTCCCCAGTTCACCTTTAAATGATGTCATGGAATCTTTTCATTCACCTTTGATAGTGCAGCACTTGAAATCAGCATACTGACTCAGAAATGAAAGTGTTTTCAACAGAGTCGAGGCTGATAACGTAACAATTGCATTGACCTGCTCTCCAAAGCCACCTTTGCATAACTGATTTTGACCTTTCGCCTCATTTTATGGTATTTATGTCAAATCTGATCAAAATATTCATAAAAATACAGAGCAAAGGGGGTGCATAAATTGGATCTGAAATGACGCAGGAACTAGCTTGCAAACTCAAAAATGCCCTTGATCTCTGCTCAGAGCTGCTATTTGCAGTCATCCATCTGCCATGCAATGGGTAATTCAGGAGAAACATCTATTTCAAGAGGAAGTGGTTGAGGCAAATGGTCTAGATGCATTCAAGGCAAAGCTGGATAAGTACATGAGAGAGAAATAAAGGATATGCTGAGAGGGTTAGATTAAGTAGGATGTGAGGAGACTCAGATAGAGCATAAAGTCAGAACTGTACCAGCTTATTTCATTTATTCATGGAATTGTAGGTGTCATTAGCTTTTATTGCTGAGCCCTGGAGAAGGTGATGATGAGCCACCTCTGAAACCACTGCAATTTTTCTGGTGAAGATATTCCTGTAGTGCAATTTGGTTGACAGTGACCCAGCAGTAAAAAAGGATCAGCAATTATATTTCCAAGTCAGGATGATGAGTGACTTGGAAGGGAACTTGCAGGTGATCATGCTTCAATGTGCCTGCTGCCTGTCTTCTAGGTTGCAGAAATCTCAGATTTGAAAGAAACCTTGAGGACATGCTTCAGTCCACATTGTAGTCGGTATACATTACAGTCACAATGCTTGTTGCCAAGGGAGGGAGTGATTGGAAAGCCAATCAAGCAGGCTGCTTTGTCATGAATGGTGTTGCATATGAACATACAAAGTTGTAAGCTATTTGTGGCCTCTGAGCCATTTCATAAGATCATTACTGGTCTTAATGTGGCCTCTACTTCCATTTCTACTTGCTATATACTTTGACTTGCTTATTAGCCAAGAAACAACCTACCTCTGCCTTAACAATATTCTAAGACTCTGCTTCCACCTTCTCTAGGCACTTTCAAAGACTTCTGACCTTCAGAGAAAAATAAGTTCTCCCTATTTTCACCTTAACTGGAAGATTGCCACCTTATTTTTAAACTGGACCTTTTTTCAGTGCCCTCCCACAAGGGGAAATACCATTTTGCATCCTCTGTCAAGTTCCCTCAGGATCTTTGTTTCAATAAGATACTTCTCAATTTTCTACATGTCAATGGACATCAACTCTACCTGTCCAATCTTTCCTCCTCAGATGAACCTTACTAGGAATCAGCTCAGTGAACCTTCTCTGCATTGCTTCTCATGCAGTTACATACTTTCACAAATGTACACAGTACTCCGGATATGGTCTCATCAATCCCCTGTTCAAGTTTGGCAAAAATTCCTTATTTTCATAGCCTCCTTGCAATAAACAACATTCCATTTTGCTTCTTAATCACTTGTTGCACCTAATATTAATTTTGTGATCA